TGACAGCCACAGAGAATGTCTCTCCTTCTCCATCCTTCCAAATAATAAACTGACTCTGATCCTGCTCTTGTTCTCTTTTTCTCACCTTTTCAATGTGCAGAGAAAATGAGCAGCAAAGTCCATGAATTTGGCTCTCCAGAACCTTTGTCTACAAGGCTAGGGTGCATAAGGTGGCTAAGGACCACAAAAAGCAGTAAGGAACATAACACTCCAAGCTGTGGCTGCAAGTTTGAATGCAGAGGATAAGACATAATTTGTCCATACTTGGCAGAGTCTTGGTCTCTCCCAGCATGTGAGGGAGAGCAGGTGAGCCAAAGGTGATAGACATGTCCCAGCATGGAAGAAGACCAAGCTCCTCTACTCCAGCCCACTGAGAAAATTTTGCTCTGTAACACTTCTTTTAATGGAGTGATATAGAGTTCCCATCAGACCCCAGTCCAGTAAATGATGCTTCTCTGCCCCTGGGTGAGGTGAGGCTGGTTGACAGCCACTCCTGGCTCTGAAAGAACTGACTCTGCTGCTGGACACAGCTGGGCTGCTGCAGGTTCATCAATCCATGCCCAGAGCAGTATTGGAGAGCCACATTAGAGATATCAGTTTAATGTGGCTTTATCCTCTCAAAGTGACACCAACCACACTGAAATCAGCAAGTCAAAGCAGGGAAATGCATCTGGAGGTAATTAGTAACAATCACTGCTTGGAAACTGCTGACAACGCAGCAATGTGCTGGGCCTATGTCATTGGTTTGTAAATGCAGAGAGCACTTACAGGCTGTAGCAGAATACAGTAACAGAAGGGTTTTTTTAAACTTACTATTTAATGCAGGATAAAAACAATGCAAAGAAAGCAACTGGTTCTCTAATCAGAGATTTCACCAGTGATCCACAACACAACAGAGGTGGTGGATGAAGCAGTACTGAGAACTGTGACTACATTTCTCCTTAGCAACGAATACTGGCATGAATGCCAATATTTAAGCAATCCTTTAATTTTCAAGATCTACCCTATATATTTCAATCTGCTAGCTGCCTAAGAGAAATACTACATTTTTCTACCAAGAAGTGCACAGAGGATCTCTGTTATCTTAAATCTCAACATTGCTTTGTCACCCACACCACAATCTGGCAATGAAAGCAATGAAGAACTGTAATCATAGTTCTGTTCTCAGACTTATTTCCATTAAATTACTTTATAATCTTACAGATTTAAGGTTAAAAACATGAAATAGACTAAGTTCTCTTCACATATGGCAGCCCAGACTACTGCAGAGTTCTCAGAAGAAGTAATTAAGCTTGAACAGGAGAAAGGACATAAGTGTTCCTGGCTCAAACTCTTGGTTTTCATATTTCAAGTTATTCGCCCACTTTTCAGCCTTACCAATAGCCCCATTCTGTGTTGAAACATCATGCAATTGTGTTCACAGCTCTGCTCCACACATAGAAGAGCTCCTGGTAGAAGAGATGTTTCCCACCAGTGCTGCCTGGACACCATAACTCATTTGACCGTGTTTTAAGCAGCTCTTTGTCTCATGACACTGAAGCTGTTCCAAAATTGTTTATCATCTGGAATATTAACACAGAAGTGAGACTGACCTTAAAGCATTAACACCATCAAACACAGACTTTGGATATTTGCTGGACTTTTATCCAATTAACCCTCACTTTTACAGTGGAAAACACACTAACTAGCATGCTAAAACATGTTTCCTCCCAGGGCTTTCAGCTTCATTCTTTGAGTTTGTTCTCATACACCACAGGACAGCCTGTATGAAACAAGGAAGAGTGGAAACACTCAAAAAAAGATGAAGAAATTAAAAGCAATTCAACTTTCCAAATGTCAAGAGAAGACCAGAGGTAGGGGCTGGCCATTTTTCCTCCAGTAAGGAGTAGTTCACATGAAAAATGCCATCATCGACCTATGAGGTTTAGGCTCTTCTGAACTGAGGGGGCCAAGGACCAGGAGGTGGTTCTGGCAGGATTTCTCCCATTAATAAGGGCCTTATCATTGAAATGGGGCTGATAGAAAGGTGATCCTCCTCCAGAGACTGTTACCTTACTGATCGCTTATCATCCCTTGCCCATCCCAGCCACAAAATACTAAACCAATCACTGGATTTTACCACAGATGTGGTCAGACCACAGACCACAAGAAAAGCTCTGAGAAAGCAGAGTAGGTGGTGGGCTTGCAGACATTTGTTGGACCTTGCACTCATAACCACTGTTATGCACCATCTCCCAGCTCCTGATTTTCAGAGATACCCACCATAGATGAAAGTGCCGTGGTAATATGCACCTTAGACTTAAAAGGGAAATAAATGTGTCTCCTTTACCAAATTCCCTGTCCCACCAAGGAAACAGGCTAGGGAAAGAGTTGTGACTGAAAAGATGGCTTACATCTGGGGAGAAAATAGAGCAATCTGTCCAGACCTACAGTGAAAAATGCACCAGGAGGTGTACTGAAATGGACATGTCTTGCACATTACAAAGTATACCTTGCTACTGAATCCTTCTGGCTTCTGACAACCTGCACATCCCTTTCAGCTCCGCATGACACCTCAGAGAAGGAAGCATGACTCAAGCATACAGTACAGGCCCAGATCATGATAGGAATTCTGGTGCGCTTCCAGAGCATTTCCAGCACAAAACAATTCCTATGGCTATTAAAAAAGAATGAAAGTATAGCAGGTAGACAACTTCCTCCAAAATATGTCAAAAGGCACAGGTTTTAGAAGATGTTTGATAGGCTCATGTAAATCTACGTTTTATGAATGCTGTTGATAGAAAACTCTACAGCACTGTCAAATTAAAAATATAAATATCCAGCATCTTGAAAAATGTGTGCTATTGTAACTGTCACTCTGACATATTTAAGACTAATGGCAGATTTGTTTCTAGAACCTGTTGTTCATAAAACCTGCACCATGTTTTTGAGGAGAATTAGCAAATTTAACATTGAAACTTTTGCTCAAGTGTAGGTAAGATCACAGGGAGAACCTCCATGAAATCCATTTTGAACTCCATAGCATCACCTCTGTAGCTGGTTTTATTCTAACAAATGTGATCTATCAGCTCACAACACTCTAAGGAGTCTTCTCACTCTAACAATGTGAGACATGTGAGAAGTGCTTAAACCAGCATAAAAAAGGAAGTGTTGCTGATGTACCAGCCATAACAGCTCTTGGCTGAATCCCATTTTGGCCAGGTGCAAATCCTGGATGAGCAATCCCTTAGAAGATGACAGAGGCTGCACTTAGGTCACCCCAAAGCCTTCTTTTCTGCAGCCTGAAAAATTCCAATTCTCTCAGTCTTTCCTCATAGCAGACATGTTCCAGCCTTCTAATGAACTAGGATGCCTCCTCTGGTCTGGCTTCCACAGCTCCACATCCTTCCTGTGCTGGGTGTCAGGTGCAGAGGCAGCTCTGCAGGTGGGGTCTCACCTGAGCAGGGCAGAGGAACAGAATCCCCCTCCCCTGCTGCCCACGCTGGGTCCCAGCATACATGGCCAGGGCAGGGTGAGTTCTCAGCCACCAGCACCCACAGAACTCCTCCCAGGGCTGCTCTCAGTCTGTTTATTCCCTGCCTGGATCAATCCTGGGAGTAGCCCCAGCCCAGGTGCAGCATTAGCATCTGGCCTCTTTTAACCTCATGAGATTCCCATGGGCCACTTCCAGACCTTTTCCAAGTCCCTTCAGGATGACCCTGTCTTTCAGGGGTGTTACTACACTCTCAGTTTAGTGTCACCTGCAAATGTGCTGAGGATGCCTGTGATCCCTCTGTCTACGTCACTGATGAATATATTAGATAACACTGGTTCCAGCACAGACTCCTGATGGACATAGATATATCTGTATCAATGCTCTATCTCCTTACATCTTACAAGCCACACACCTCCAGAAGTCCTTCTTTCTGCCCATCCTTCCACCCCTAGACACCTTTCTTACTGATGAGTCCAACATTCAAACCACCCATCCAGAACAAGACAGATATTAAAAGAAGTCTCTCCCCTCCCACTTCAAGGTACACAAGTATTTCTTTAACTCTCCAATCTTTTTTGAATCCTCCTGAACTTTGTCAAGAAAAGACTGATGCTGTATTGGATTAAAACTACTTTGTGACAACACTTGGTTTCAAAATGTCTCTGCTACATGAGATTGTAAGGCTTTAAAGAGAGAGCAATACTTTACAAAAAACAGTATCATCTTCCAATGTAGCTACAAAATAAAGTATTACATCCAGTCTTTGTCAAAACAGAGAAATCCAATGAAATTTGCACCGATTAAACATAGCAGTAACACACAGAGCTAACATTCATATGAAATGAATGTCACAGAGCCTTAAATTTCAAAAGCCCTCCTTTTGTCTGATTTGCACAACTAATTTGGGACACAATTTAATAAGCTTTTTATCAATTTCCTTGCAAGCAATGGGGTCAATCCCAGATAAATAGGTGACCAAAGCATTTATCAGACTCTAGCTGTTCAGCTACACCTGCTGAATAACTGGAGATGCTTTGGCATTCCTTAAACAAAAAAGCCTTTGCTTTTCATTTAAATGTTCAACTTTAGTGCACAGGTAAAATTCAGAAATGGTATAAAATCAGCTTCCAAAATTCCAGCTAGTTTGAACTGTCATAAAAACTCCATCCAGTCAAACATACCAGTTGCATTTATGAAAAATGAGCACAAACACCCAAAAGCAGAGGCAAGCAGTCTGCTTTTCAGTGACGTGGTGCTATTCAGGACGTACTTCTGGGGTGGAGGGGCACCTCCTTTCATGAACAAGAGGAATTGATACTCCATCTGTCAGCTGCAAACACAAACAATTTACACATGCCATGCAGCTGACTTTCAACAAGAGTTCCTATGAAACCACATTCAAAAAGAGACTTTTTGAGCAAATGACTCCACAATTGACACAATTCTTCCATAAAGGACCTCATCATGCACTATGAAAGTACAGACAATTCACACTACTACTTATCACTGTTTGAAAATCATTTACCTGTGACAATAGGATAGGACTGAGGCCCAGGAACACTCGCTCCCAAATCTGCAGAAGTAGGGCTGGTTATATTGGCTTTCATGTCATCCAATCCACCAGCTAGTGAGGCCATGGCTGAGTACTCTGTTGCCTGGAAAAAGAAACAAAATACATTTTAGTGGCAATAAAATTACTAATCAAGAGCTTTTTTTTTGCATGTGCCAACAGAAAGTAGGTGCAATACAGAACTCAAAAATCCTTTGTTCAGCCAGTGTTAAAGGCAATGCCCATTTACACTGGGCTTTTCAACATTCAAATTGTTCAGTAAATGGGACTTACTGAACACTGCTTATCACCAGTGTTGATGAAGAACACCAAAATATGTTTTCTTTATAAAACCAAAGCCAAACTAATTAATATTTAACAAGGCTTTCCTGAAAGAGGAAAATTTGTAGATTACCTGCCAAGTGCAAGCTAAAAATTTTCATGCCTCTTAATCTCCTTACTCGCCACATTTTAGTGCTGACACTTGAGGGGACATGCACTAATGAGAATGTGGGAACAGGTTTTCTTGGGAATGTTGCATTTCTTCATCCTCTCACAGGAAAGAAAAGGTATGTATATACAAGGGTTTGCTTAATGGGATGCATTTGTAGCTAACTGTTTCTAAATCCAAGTTATTTAAAAATCAATCACCTGACTCTGGTAAGGATACTGTGTCATTTCCAAATAATTTCTCATTCTAATTAACTGAAAGAGACAATGCAAGCAAGCACAGATCCTCAGAAATCAGAGTGTTTGTGTCCTATAACACTGTTTAAGTCTCTGTAGCTACAGCATTCTATAGCTGATGAGGTCAATGCATGCATCTGAAGGATGTGTATGTACATGGCACAAAGCTTATCTTCATCTGCCCTTTTTCAATGATTTCTTATTGTCCAGATCATTCCCACAAATCTGTGAAGTTTTCCTTCAAAGTTCTCTGTTCCCTGCTATCTGCCCTTTAAGTTTTAATCCCTTATTTGTGAGACAGCAGTCATGCCCTTATCAACTGCAGATTGACTTCAAATAAAGAGCTGTGATGGAAAGAGGTAAACTGAAGAGCAACCACTGTGATGCCAATCCCTAATGAATTCCTGAAGATTAAGTCAATGCAGAAGCTGCACAGAGATGAAGAAAAGCAGATGAACCCAGGATCACGTGGAGGTTTTTTTAAGCAACCAAAACAAAACTCAGAAAACACAGATTCCCACACTGGATTAGTTTGGAAGTTATCTTAAAAACCAACTTATCCTACCCCCTACCATGGGCAGGGACACCTTCCACTAGACCAGGTTGTTCAAGGCCCCATCTAACTAGGCCTTGAACAGAGATGAGACATCAAAATAAGTTAACTTTGATAAGTTAACTGATTATCTGAGTGAATACATCCTTCTCCTTCCTGCAGGTTTCTGTGAGAACCCAGCACATAATATAGTGCTTGCCACTTACTCAGCATTTTGGCCAGGAATATGTGCTGGTGTCTCTGTAGCTCAGGTCTCACTCAAACAGAAGTTAAATTACATGGATAATCCTGTATCCATATAATGTTTATAAGAAACATGTTATTTTTCTGCAGACACCATTTCCATGAAGCAGGAGTACTGTCTGTCACCTTGAAGGACCCCACATACAAACCTCTTGAAGATGAGCATGCAAAATACATTTTACCAGGGAACAGCTGCTGGCCACCTCTGTCCTGCACCTAGCCCATGCATCAGAGTCCTCTGACTTGTCTCCTAGGATCCTACGTAACCTTTGCATTAAAGTTGTCTTGTTCCTAAGTTATTTTAGCTCATGCCTCCTACAACACCCTCTGTGCCCTCACTTTTGCCTTGCTGTCATGCACTGAGGCCTTTTTGTCTACCACCACTACCTCAAAGACACCCCACCTCTTACTCATCCCCACTTCTGCTCCTGGGAGAGGACAACCCTGGGAACCTCCCTCCTTTGCAGAGGATGCCAATAATGGTCCCAGCCTTCCTCCTTCCTTGAAGTGTAATCAAAGCTCCTTCTTCTCATTCAGCATCGCACCATAATACATTTCTCAGCCTTCCCATACTATTCCATGTTTTCCAATCCCACCTTTCCCCTATGCAGGGTACATGCACATATGAAGGCACTGCTAGATTTTTTTCTTTCCCCAAAACCCTAATCTGGCAAAACATTAGAGACATCCTAGGCAGCTGGTGATGCACAAGCATGCAAGGGCTGGCAGCATAGCAGAGGAAAAACCTGTCCTTGTGTGCTGCTGTTTGGTATTTCTGGTATCTCTAGAAGAGCACAAACAAATACCCAGGGAAGGCTGCCTGATTTCATCCATGTTGCTCTATGAAAGCCATAAACACACCATATGAAGACTAGAAAATCTCTTTGGATCCTCCCATGGAGCGCTGATCCACAACTCCCAACAGGCAGAGAGTGCATGTGGCTTCCCAATTACAAAGTGAGAGCTGCACAGCTGTAGTTTGGGAGGAAGCATCCAGCTGGAATGTGACCTCTGCCACAGGCTGGGTCACATGAGAGGACTCGGGAAGGAGGTGTACATCCCAAACTACAAACACAACTGGAACCACCCTGAGCCCTCAACTGAAATTCTCACACAGGAATGCATAACTCCATAGCTTGGTTCTCTTCAGGAGTCCAAGGAACTTACCCTGCAAGAAATAGGACCAGAGCTAAGACTTTTAACTGTAATGACCTAGAAGCACCATGCCAATGAGCCATGAATACCCCTCTGAGCTTGGAGAAACTGACCAGTTCTAGTGTCAAGCAAGCAGCAACCAGAGTGTAGCATAACCTGGCAAGGGTCACAGCAGAGGTAGCCTGTGCTCTTCCATGTCACTGCACCATAGTGAGCTGGCGCTGTCTCAAACCATGGAACAACATCTGCAGACTGGAGGGACTGGAAGCATTATGGTTACCCAGCACAGTACAGATGGAGAGCCCATAGCCAAGCAGCACTGTGGTAGGAATGAGCTGAAGATGTGCAAAATGGAGATTTGGGGTCCTTCTCTGCCTTTGGTCCCAATAATTTCCTGAAGATGGGACCTACATGTCTTTTGCAATGGCCCAGCAACATTTCTTAGAATAGGAATTTTAAGGGATTTTCCAGCTACTTTACTGTGCCAAATCCCTCCTTGGAACCACCATCAGCTGAACACTAGCAGCAGCATGGAGCAAGCACTGACCACAGCTTTCAGCACTGAGGCAGAACAAGTGCAGGCTGATGGGCACCCCTTCTGATTGCTGAAACCCCTCTCATCACGCAGTCCCAGTGGAGAAGTGATCCCCTCACATCACGTCCACCTCTGCAGTTACAGTTTACACTGCAAAGCAGCAGAGTCAGGGCTAGCACTGGCCTGGCACAGTGGCAGTGACCAGCACTTGCCTGTGGGCAGAAAAGGAAACACAATGCTGCCAACAGCAAGGTGCTGCAGGAAGGTGATGGTCAGCAGAGGCAACTTCTGGCCCCCAAGGACTGGAGCATCAGGGCTGCAGGGCAGAGGAGCCTTCACCTAAAACCAAACCATGGGTACTTTCTGCAGCTCTCCTCACCCCTATGGAGAGTCCAGGAGAGAATCGAGCACCCCCTGAAAAAGCAAAAACCTCTCTGATATTGCAGGCTCACAGCGTTGGGTATTGAACCACTGAGGAGGCATACTGTGGTGTTCCCTCTTCCCATTCCCCCCAGGCAGCTCTCTTCCTTTCAGGCATCCCATCTGGAGAGGAAAGGAAACCCCAGGGGAAGGCAGCACTCATGGAGCAGCCCCTCACCCCATGGCCCCACCGAGACCCTCCTGCTGAACCCTCCTGCCAACCCTTCCCAAGAGCTTCTCCAGCTGATTGTGGCAGGAGCAGCAGAAAGGACCTTAGACTTGGCTCCTGCACTGGTGAGCTGGCAGTGCTGCTGGTGAAAAACAGTCCAGAATGACTGTCATGGCCAGGGATCCCTCCTCGTGAGGTAGGAAGCCTGACCTTCTGCTTGGTAGGTGAAAAAGCAAGAGACGGGTGTTCGTTACCCTAGAAATTACCTGAAAAATGACTGCCTGCGGTTGTACCACGCACTGTCTCATCAGCATGGAGCACCACTGCCATAGCATGGAGGAGAGAAAACACAGACATGTGAAACGAGGAATATATAAAAGAGAGACTGAGAAGGACAAACTGAAAGGAGGGGCAAGACCAGATCTCATGTGTTCCCCAGCCCTATCCAACTCTGCCCTGTCTTGGCTCTGGCAGACAGGAGCTGGGGGAGTGGCTGCAGCGGTGAGGAGAGGAATAATCTCTGTGCGCCTATTAGTAGCAGCACAACTTCTCTTGCAGCAGCAGGGTCTGTACAGTCCCTTCCCATTAGACTTCTCTGCAAAGTGCACATGGGAAGGTTTCTGCTCTAAGTAAGGTTTTGATTCCATCTCCATTGCAAAAGCTTTATTTCTAACTATTAATCCCCTTGGAGTGGTGGATGTGATAGGCAAATGGAAAGAAAAAGGGTGCAGAAGGGTTTCATAACTGTTTTCAGACCTGCTGCACTACAGCAAAGCAGAGGCAGACTACAACCAGCTTCACCCTGCACTTCTTCTGGTGAAGGTGCCTGAGTGAAACACACTGAAAAGTCAACCCACCCTATGTGTACAGAAATTGTCTCTTTGAGATTTACCTGGGATTTTATCCTGAAGTGTCAGGAAAAGATAGGCACACAGCAGGGAACAAGGCTGCTCCCTGAAACAGCCTGGTTCTTGGTTGCTAATACGGGAATCTCAGGGAGCTACCAGAGGCTGGAATGAGCCCTGCGACTCATGCTGCAATCCATGAGGTGTGAGATAAATGTATCTCCTTTCTGCCCCATCCCTTTGGTGGGGCACAGACCTCACAATGCCTCTGAAGAGGCTGCACCAAGCAGAGACAGACAAGAGCTATCTGCTGCACAGGGCAAATGGCCATTAAAATTACCAGCTGGGGTCCACTGGGACTTGCACATGTTGCTTTTTGCATCTGCTATATTTTCCAAATCAGAATACAAGGCAGGCATGAAATAACACCTTCTGTGTTCTCCTGCCACTGACACAGCTGCCCCCAGGCCCACAATGCTGCTCAGGATACAGCAGCAGCAACAGCAACAGCTCAACAGGAGCTCAGACCATCAGTGCTTGGTGCCAGCCTGGGGCTTCAGGTCTTAGTCTGCCTCCTCACTGACCACATGCTCTGCCTTCCTTCCTGACAGAGATGGTGCATCAAGAGCTGTCATTGCAAAAAAAGAACACTGAGATCCCTAAAAGGCACAGTGCTGTCTCCCAGATCACATCCACCACACCTCCTGCTTACCCCTGATGGCAGCAGCAAGCCAGACCTCACACCAAATATCTCCAAGTTATCACATCTTAATATTTTTAAATTAGTTAGTAAATAGAGGCAAAAGTGGCACATGCCAGGCAGGCTGTCCACAGAAACCTCCACCTCAGCCTGATAAAAGGAAAAAATTTGTAACATTAGATATGGTTCGAAGAGTTTAATCCAAAGCAGCTCTAATTAATCTCCCCAGGCTTTCAGAAACCCAGCACCGCTTGCAGCTGCACAGTCACCACTGAATTTCATGGGAATGGAAAATCCAGCCTAATGCCCTCCTCCTCAGCCCCCCACGATATGGGTGGGAAAGGTTCTCAGAAACCTATATATCAAAGTCTCACCACAGCTGCCTGCCAGCCACCACACCATTTAATAATTTACATGACATTCCCTTCACTGGCCATTGCTGACACCAAAACCAATCCTACTTTGAAGCAAACGTTATTTACACACCTAATTGGGGCCAAACCCTAGTTGCTCTTTGTTTTCAGCCACATTGGGCTCATTGCTGTCTCACAGAATGTGGAAGTTTGATTTCAGTGGTACAACCTTTTCCCCTCAGTTTAAATAGAGTATTTCTGAGCCTCCCTTTCACAATACATATATGTTTATAAGAAGTTAACAGCTGTGCTTCATTTTAGCCCAAATCCAATTAGAATTGTACACATCCCCAGACATTCCTTTGAAGGCAGTGAGAATTAGCTCATGCACCCTGCCATGAACACATTTACCCTCATACTTCAAAATAACTGACCTGTTTTTGACCCAATCTTCACCTTATCTGCATATGGGAAATGATATACTACATTTTACATTTCCATAGTGCAATTCATAAGTGGGTGCAGCTATTCTCAGGTTTTCCAAAGGGACACCCAAACCCAATCTAAATGCCTAGAATTTACCTGTTGTTTTTCTTTTATACATATAAATAGCTGCATTTCCATTCACTCTTTGTTTCTCATTTTCATTTTGTTCTAATATCTGCATGTAAATGTCTGAAAATAGCATCTGTAATTGAAGATTATGAAGTATAGCCAGCTCCTGACAGGCTGCTAAGGAAGATGGATTATCCTCATTTTTCTGTAAATTTTGTCAATTTTGGAATTCATAAGCTATCAACACTGATCAAAATGTGACTGCACAGCTGTGTCAAAGCGGACGGCGCAGCATCAGCGCAGCTCCGAGGAGGACAGCTCTCCCCAGCCACTCAGCCAGGGGCACACACTGCAGGAATCCTTCCCGGCTGCTTGTGGTATCTACATCCCAATCACACTGCCCCCTCCACCCCTGCAAAAAAAAAAAAATCAAATAAATAAGTAAATTGAAAGTACGCAAATTCTCTGGTGCACCAATTCAGATCACAAAGCACAATTTATTGCGTGTTCTCTCTTTTTATTTATCCCTAAGTAGTAAACACGATTTCCATTCAGGGGGTTCGTTATGTTCCACTCCTACCAGACAATCACGGCACACTTGAGGCAATTGTTTAGCCTCTTCCTCTCAATTTTCCCATTACTGGGAGTAAGTACTGTTGGGACTCTTTAATAGCCCGACTGCAGCCCATATCAATAACAGATGAGGTTTAATCGTCCAACACAAAAATTATTTAGGCTCAGTAAGGACATTCAATGTCATTTGCATAATGGCATTTCTATCCTGAGCACCTAACCCATCGTGCATAAACAAGACCCTGGGACCATAAATAATAATAAATCATGACGTCCATCCTCCTCTTGCTGTAATAGGAGCCTCTCTATGTAGAAATTATTTCAGCAGGAAATGGGCACTATAATTTTAAAGACATGTGGCATTGCACAGGCCAGTAAATCACACCCGTGCACAGTTACACACACACACGTGCCAGTGAGGCTGCCCATAGTGAGCAGCAAAACCCCATGAAGCAGCAGCACAGAACACTGCCCATGCTGGCTGCTGGAAATGTTTTTAATATTGTTTCTTAGTCAGAGGTAGCAGGCTGAACAAAAGCAATGCCTGAGTAGTGTGTGCAGCGCCTGGCATGTGCTCGATGGACCTGTCAGTCTGCCAAATCCCTGCTGGTCAATCCCTCATGCCTGCTGTCCTTGGATGTCTGGGAGGGTCTGACGGGAAGGGAGCAGAGACCTGCAGATGCTCAGATGGGTGTTTTCCAAGCAAGCCCTTCATGGTGCCATTGCAGTCCCCAATGCCCAGCAGGGGCAGAAATGGCCAGTGGCCTCTTTCAGAATCATGAATCACTGAGGATGAAAAGCCCTCTAAGATCATTGAGTCCAACACTGTCAGGGCCATCAATAAACTATGTCCTCAGGAGCCATAAACTTCCTTTGGTTTTCAGAAAGTAGCCTCCACCAAAAAAATATGTAAGGCCAGCCCAAGAGTGGTAAATGTACAGAATGAACTGAGGTGGCTTTTCAGATTCCAGCCTCATCTGGCCGCTAACAAGCACCTGGATCAGGAACATCAACACCACCACAGTGACAAAGTCAACCTCTGTTTCCACTGAGATTTGCTAGCTTCAACATCACATATTTGTCCGCAACAACTCTGACATCTCTCTGTGTAATGCTAACCCTGCTGTGTCTCCTGCAGGACACAAAACGATAGGATGACTCACCCGAGCCTCCACCCACTCTCATCAGCACTGCCCAATCCTGCACAGGTTCTTCCTTTCTGTCTCCATGCCAGAGCCTCCCAGTTCAGTTTACTGAGAAAAGTAGAAACTCCCAAAACAGATTCTGTAGGAACAGATTCCTGGTTCCAGTGTTGCAACACAAATGCCTGCAACTGGCCCAACCCCCTCCAGGTTCTTCTCCTCAGTCTTCCTCTCTCCAGCCTTCCTCCTCCTCCCAGGGCAGTCCTCTCCTGCTTTCCACACAGACTTACATGGGGCATTTCTCTTCTTCCCCCCTTTCCTGCCCTCTCCCCAGCACCATTTGAATTCTCTCAGCACCCTCCACCATCCTATGTGCAATACTAAAAAGGAGACACCTAATCAAAGTAAAGCACGGGACACACAACTGAAATAAAGTGTAGTGCAACCCACCCTGCTGGAAAAGCATTTCCTCTTTGGAAACCCAGCACAAAATTTAGGCTTTTATGCCTCTAATTGCTACAAGATATTGTTAAAACATGCTCTTTCTCAGGACAGGACCTGGACAATTCCCCTCTCAACACTAACAATTTCAGCCAGAGCAGGAGGGAAAAGGTACAATCCTCTGGCATGGTGGCTCCTCTGCTCCCACTGAAGCACTGAGCATGACTGTGCCTAGAAGAAAGCACAACCCCCAGCACAGTAAAGTACTTCCTTATGGAGAAATACGAATCAGAAATATGAATGCACACTGAGAATGTGTGAGGCTGGCATCAATATTGTCAGATGTTCAATCCATCCCACCAATGGCTCCTGACACTCAAGAAGTCTTGTGCAAACTTTCAAGAACAGTTGGTATTTATGCAATGCTTTCACATGCACTACCCAATGGTGTTTCACAAATGCCATCTGAGAATCCTGTCACAGCATTTTTTATATCATATTAAACATTGTGTACAATAAACTGGTCTCAAAGTGGTGTGACTACCAAAGCAGCAGATTACCAGGGTCCAAGCCTCATGGGTAGCCAAAGCCCCTGCAATCACTGCACCTACAAGGGTACCAAACCTTTATGCAGGGGAAAGCCAATAGAGAAAGCCACAGAGTTTGCTGTTTTGTGGCATGTTGAAAAGTCCAAACTGAACAAATCCGTGTCAA